TCTTGTCTAGAATGACAATTAATAAACTGGGTGAAAATGCATCATTTGAGTCTACACCCTAAATCCTGCAGCCATCCTGGCTTTTGAGGGGAGGTTTTAAGGGAAGGCAAGGTTGATTCAAACAGTGTGGTACGGATCCAGTCTTTTTTGGTAAATGCTGCTGGCTTCTTACTGACAATGCATTCTCACCCATGCCCTATTAGAGAAGTTTATCTACTTACTCTAAGCTTATGAAGCACCTGAAATAGTTTAAAGTTAGTTTAAAATAGTTTAAAAATAGTTAAACCTGCTCCCAGGTTAGATTAATTACAATGAAAATGGACCCAGCTGCCTTTCCTTACAGTGGGCCAATTAATTATTTTCTTATTCACTTAAGAACATTTTTTAAACTCAGGTTCTTGCTATATAACCATGGCTGACCCAAAATTATGTAGGCCAGGCTACCCTTGAACTAAGTGCAGAGGGTGAACTTGAACTTATGGTTTTCCTGCCTCCACCTCCTGAGTGCTGGGATTACAGAAATGAGCCATCGTGCAGTTTATGGAGGTGTTGGTAATCAAACCCAGGGTTTTGTGCATGCCAGGCAAGCACATTACCCACTGAACCATGTCCCTAGACCCAGGGAATAGACTTTCAATAGACTATAGTGGAAGAGCTGTACTGCTGTGTCTAATTCATTGCAGGGGGAAAATATGTGATAATTCCTGTGAATCCATATCCAAACAGTAGAAAAAAAATATAAAAATCACCCAACTTTTGCCCCAGCTGCTTAGTTCCATTTCTTTTTTGTTTTGTTTTTTAAAGATTTATTTTTATTTACTATGTATAGTGTTCTGCCTGCATGTATCCCTGCAGCCCAGAAGAGAGCACCAGATCTCATTACAGATGGCTGTGAGCCACCCCTATGGTTGCTGGGAATTGAACTCAGGACCTCTGGAAGAACAGCCAGTGCTCTTAACCCCTGAGCCATCTCTCCAGCCCTGTTTTGTTTTTTTGAGACAGAGTTTCTCTGTGTAGCTTTGGAGCCTGTCCTGCAACTCACTTTGTAGACCAGGCTAGCCTCGAACTCACAGAGATCTGCCTGCCTCTGCCTGGGATTAAAGGCGTGTGCCACCACTGCCCAGCAAGTTCCATTTATTTTAGGCAAACAATTTCTTGTACATCTTTTGTTAAATAATTTGAATCTTAAATAGCCTAGTTGTGGCAAGGACTGAACCCAGGGGCCTGGGCATGGTAAGCTTTGCCCCAGCACCAAAATCTCCATTTTCTCCTCCAAGCATCTCTTGGTAATTCTAGTATCAGAGAAATTCTAGTATCCAGAAAAGACATATACCTATTTTGTGCCAAGCTCTGTGATGGGTTCTTAAGCTAGCTATATGACCCAGCACTGCCCAGTACTGCTTAAGATGCCCTCCATGTGGAAGAAAGGCTCTCCAGTGGCCCTTACCTAGGAGGCCCAAAGCAGGAGCTGTGAAGGGCAGGCAGTGCTGCAGAGAGAAAGCCTGAGAAATGTGGGCCTTTCATCTTCTGTCATCAGCAGTGGCACCTGGCAGACACTGGATACCATAGCCCGCAGACAAAGACCTGGTAACCCAAGCCATTGCTTGACCTCTCTGCCCAGTCTTGTCCTAGAGAAACTGTAGTCTCTGGTTTCTTTAGGAGGCCCTGTGTGGAAGTGCCTTTTGTCTTTGTGGTGTCTGGAATACTATCACGTGCTTGCTGGCTAGGTGAGCCAGGCGCCTTGGTGGGGACAGTGATGCTCCCTAGACACAGCAGGGCAGGGCAGAGCCACCAATTGCACAGTTCCTGACTTGGGTGAGGCCAGATGGGTGCTTTTAGGCCTCTCCCTCTTTACTGCAAAGCTGTTTCATCCTAGCGACCTTATCACAGCCTTCTGTGAGCTGCTCACACAGCACAGTCTGTTCAGGCTGGGCTTGACTGCCCTGGTTCACTACTAGATCCCAGCACTGGCCTCACCTACAGGGTTGAGTGCATGGTTACACAAAGAATGTATTCTCACATTATACATATTACGATGTTTTCATTTTCTAGGCTTGGAGCTTCGTTAACACAATGGCTATTTGGGGTCTGGAAGGCTCTTCAAAGGTCGAGGGTAGGAAATAAATGTTTAAAAATATCCAACAAGGTAGTGCATGACTGTAATCCCAGTGCTGTCACTCGGGGGTAGGCAGCCTGGTCTACATAGCAAGACCGGTCTCAAAACAAAACACTTCAGGCCTGCAATCCCAGAGCAGGGGGTTTTAGAGCAATTTGGTTTACATAGTAAATTTGTGGCCACCCTGTACTACACGAGACACTGTCTCATCAAGACAAGACAAAACAACAACAAAAAACTCTTACAATCAAACAGGCAGGGTGTGCTAAGTCAGGAGTATCCCAAGTTCTTAGGCCTGAAGTGACACCTGGTCTCAACATGCCGTGAGATTTTTTTTTTTTTTTTTTAAATTAGCATCAGTGGAGTAAGGTTCAAATCCCGAATTCCTGGTGGGCAAACACAACCTCACCTCTTTGGGTTATTAGGAGAGTAACGAGGTGAATCTGTTAAGTGAAACACACATAAGCCGCTTTTGCGGTTTGTTGTTTCCAGGCTTTTCAGGGCTGGGGTCTTTCATGCAGTTCAAGACAGCCCCTGCCTGAAAGACCCTTAGGGTCGCGTTGGTACCTCAGCCGCTGCCGGCGTCCGCACTGAAGGAGAGCATGGCG